TGAGGTTTAATGATACTATTACAAGGTATATTGCATTTCCTCCCTAGATTACATTAATTACCTATCTTTTACTTCCAGCACTCTAGCTCTCTTCTCTTTCTTTGTTGACAGCCAGAATATAAATCAAACCAACCCTCTCTCAAAAACTGAATGGCTGTGAGCTCCGAGGGCATCATTTAGCCTCATCTTCAGAGGGTTGAGAATGTTTGCTTGCATTCATTTTTTTCTTTTTCTTCAGACAGCGTAAGCAACAACAAATATATTGCTCTCATGGTGAAATTTTTCTCTTTTGCGATGTTTATGTTCCTGAACAAAGCACTGTTTAAGTACCAATTAATGTCATCTGTGAGACTAAGAAAAGCAGGGAACATTCTCTTTCCTCTCTCTTCCTCTATTTTTCTTCTTCACACAGGAACAGTGCCACACCACTGCTTTTCCATCAGCAACCCATAAAGCTTCAGACCTAAATTATTCTGATACCTGTCCAGAAAAGCTGTAGTGATGCAATTACTAGAGAAATGGGGATGGAATTACTAGGTAATTTTGACATCAGGTTTCATGTAGGTCTTTTTTCTGTGTTATTCTCAACAAATGGAAATACCCTCCCTCCACTGAGGTGAACATGCAAACCCCTCAGAGGACTGCTTTTCGACTCCAAGTAAAAGTTAGGCCAGAAAAGATGACAGGAAACATCTTTCAGTCTAGGTTTGAGAGGAGGTAATGTGCTTAGGACCTGTTTGTTACATTTCCAGAGCAAAACTTTCTAAACAGTCACTTTCTTTGCTTGTTTTGCTCACAAATTCAACCAACAGCTATGGCACTGTAAGAAGACTCTGCTCCAGTGGACTTTTAGTTTTCTGAACTTTGGCATAGTAAAGACATGAATCTTATCTTTTCAGGACGGCATTTCTGTTTTTGTTTTATTAGAAAACCTGAACAGTGACATCATTTAACTTGTTTTGAGATAAAATTTTCAGAAATGTCTGTTTTAAACTGACACATACACATGTCTAAACTTCCAAACTTGATTGAGCAGCTTTTTAACAGCAGAGCTAGTAAAGTTTCCCTTTTTCTGATGTCAAATAATTTTATCGTAGGCTGCTCTTGCTTAAAAATGCATAAAGAAATGAAAGCTTCCTTTGGCTCTCCTTCAGATCACTGCAGCTTGGGTCATTGCCTTTAATGGAATTAGGCTCTGATGCATATAAAATCCAGCTCAGATTTGCAACCTGAATGTTTGGATCCAAGACTTCTAAAACTTAAGGTTGGTTTGGTTACACTCCCTTTATCATGTTGTCGTAAGGCTTTGTTATACAATACATTGCTCTTTGCTGTTATTACAAAATATGCTTCTAAGTTGAGCATCAGATAAACTTTAAAGTGCATGTCTTTGAAAACGTTCGGTTTTTTAAATTGTTTGGCTTAAGTGGTTTTTCCATATTGTATAATATACATCAATACCATAGTATATATTAACTTACTGTTTTAGTCTCTGTTCAGTAGGAATGGTAAATGTTATCTGAGTCCTGTTTGCCATTTTTGGTATCTTCTGCTTGCCTAAAGTGGTTAACATCCAGAGGACACTTTAATCAGTGCTGGCACAGCGAACTAGAGAGCTTTAGCACAGTGTGTTTTCATCTTGACTCAGCAAGATTTCCAGCACTCACATTTATACAGTATTTGACAGGATGCTTCTTAAATGAAGCATCTGCCTTCTGGAGAACTACACCCACAGAGATTTCATTTTTCTTGATGTCTGTTAATATCATGAACTTTATTAACAAATTCAAATTCAAAAACAATTTCAGTTCAAGAAAGCTGTCCAAGTTAGTTCTTGCTCATTTCTTACATATGAGGTTATCTACAAAAGCACAGATGCTCAACAATGGCTGTGTGTATTTGTTTAAATATATGTATATATTTCTTAGAGAAAAAATGAAATAAAGGAGTTCTTTAAGAAGAATTTGATCTCTGATTGTAGGGATCAGTGCAAAGGATTTGACTCACAGTTTTAAGAATTTCTCATGGCACAGTCTTATAATAAAATCCTACTGGCTGCCTTTTACATTACTGCAAATAAAATAAGCAACTTTCTATTCTTTATAGACATCTGATGCCAATGTTTTGCAATCATATTGCAATAACTAAATGTATATCAAAGATGTTTATTTTGGCCGCTATACCTACATATAGATTTTAATTCACAAGTCCAAATGTCATAAAACTCGAGACTCAAACATGGAACAATGGCAGGGTAAGATCCACTTTCTCCATGTAAGACATACAAATATTTGACAGCCCTGCAAATTTGCAGTGGCAATTTATCAGCCTAGGAAGACTATCTATCCACCCTTTACCCTGAGGAATGATATTACTTTAAAACATAATGAAAAAAACCCTTCTATGAGCACGTAACATTTTGGAAGTCAAAAACCGAGATGTGTGCTTGGTTATGGGTCTAATGCACGAAGAAGGGGCTGAACGTAATTCTTGAATGCAAAACTCTGTTCTCATTAAGGACCAAGTCTAGTTTTGTAGTACCATACATGTGTTTCTGCCCTTCTATTTGCATTTAGTGAAAGGAACATACTCCTGTAAGAAAAAAAAAACCTGTGGCAACTTATCAGAATTTGAACTATAATTATATGCACACACACATATCTCACCTCACAACTATATAGTGGCTATAATGTGAGAATCTTTAAAAATTGTATTTATCTCTGTATTTTCGTTTCACTTGATTTTGCAACAATACCAATAATGCATTAGAACACCTTGTTCAAATAATTTGAGCATCTGTTCATGGAAATACTTCTTTTCTTTCCCTCAATAGGCAGATTAGTAAAAACTTGCATTAAATGACTGGAATTTTATTTCAGGCAGTGAAATGTTTTGGTATTTCTAAGTTTTGGAAGAATCCATCTGGAAGAAACAAAAGTCTGGTTTTGAAAAATTTGAATAGGCAAGCTGCTTAGAAATCCATTGCTATATATCTAAATCAGGAATTGAAGAAAGGATTTACAGACCTGATTCCATTTTGTTATCCTTTATAAAACCCTGTCTTCTGTGCTTGAACTCTAATTTACTCCAGTAAAGAAAAACAGTTCTTCACACAGACAGCTTATTCTATTATGCTCATAAATTGTACATTTAAACATTAAATATTGCTTCAAATAGCTAATTGAAGGATAAGAACATTCTTACCCCTACACCTGTGCACAGATCACATCCTCCAAAGCTTAGCATGCCCTACTAGGAACATTACAGAACAAGACTGAGAGCCTAGTCCATGCTTTTCCTCTGAGACAAGTTTAAATACCCTTATATCATCCCTGACAGGTATTTTTGAACTGGTTTTGAAAACTTTTAATGGAGGAGATTTCAGAACCTTCCTTATCTCAGTTTTATGGGTATTGATATTTCCCCTTAATATCCAACCTAAATGTTTCCTGATTACTTCAGTTCACTGTTGTGTCTAATACACAAATCAGAATCCTTCAACATTTGCATCACATATGCTTAAAGGAAGAGGCAAATACAAAAGCTGATGTTTAAAGGCATTTACATACCTATCTCTGCAGATAGGCACTAGTAGCATGATGGAATACATGGGAGATGCTGAGCAAGACAATTTCAGTGGGAGTTGGCCGGATGCAACAGGTCTCTTCCCCACTAAAACAGAGAAATGGGAGAAATTGAGCCTCTGTACTGCCCAATTTGGTTTTTAAGGTGTCCTAAGGCTTGTATCATCAAATGTTACTGTACTAAAATTCACAGTGAGCTAGGGGAATCGGCAAAAGCTACATCTTTGTCTCGAGAGCTCAGGCTGCAGCACCTAAAATCTTCCTTTTCCTTGACAGTTCTGCATGCTAGCATGATTCCCTCTGGGACTCTGTATCAGAGAACTCAGAAGGATTTCTGTGTATACATGGACTAGTGTCTACAGTATTTAATGTGAAATAAAACCAAAAAGATAAATAAATGTGTGTGTACATCACACTACTGATGGTAAGAGTTCACTTTTGGAAACTAATGACAGGGTATGATACAGTTGATTTTTCAGAAAAAATGGCATACAAAATGTGAAGGTAGTTTCATTAAATAAAAACACTTCAACTGTTCATGAAAAAGAAAAACATTTCCTTTTCTTCCAAAAGACCATAATTTACAGTAAATGTCCATATTAAAAAGTTAGAAACAAAGAAAAAAACAGTTTTAAGAAGGGCATGAACTTTCTTGCTTTAAAAGCAGAGACAATAATATAACAAACTCCTTTAAATGAAACACTTGTCACAAATTTCATTGCTTTTCTTCATAAAATTAACAATGCCTGTAGGCGATTATGTTGTGCTACCTACGGCTTGAGGAACAATTCACTGTTGTGTTTGCTCAATCAACAGCTATTGTTGCTGTTTGTCTGTTTGGGTTTTGTATAATATATACATTTTTAAAAGGACCCCATAAAACCATTTGTAGTTATACAAATGTGCTAGATGTACACATTAAAAGTGTTCAACAAGCATATTTTTTTTTGTTTGTTTGGAGTATAAAATTAACCTTCAGGGTTTGGTCCACTGGCTGTACAAAGAACTCTTGCAATTCAATAAGCAATTGGTTTGGATCCATAGCAGGGCAGTTTCCACACAGGTGATTTATATCCTCCTACCTAATAGAAACTGTGATTATAAACCACAAGAAAAACCAAAACCAACAAACAAAAGGAAGAAACCCAAACTCTATCACAGCGTGGCAGTGGCTTCTCACACATTCATCCTGTGGCAGCATTGGTGGGAACAGCAGAATTCCTATATAATGGCATGATCCAAATTCCACTGCAATCAATGGGACATTTTCTCTTGTCTTACTTAGTACTAAATCATCACTATGGATTGGTTCCTATTTGGCTAAACATTGGTTGATAACATAGTGCGCTCTCATTTGTTTTCGATATTTGATGTATTAAGATACAGTGGGGGGAAAAAAACCACAATACAAAAAAAAAAAAAGAAAAAAACATTTTACTAGATTTTTACATTTAGTAAATGGTACTTAAACTCCATGGACATGAAAGTAATTTTAAACTTTACCTTCGAAATTTTACTCTTTTTCAATATTTCATAGAAAAGAAACGCTCTAAGATACTGCTTCAGACCACAGAATTATTACAGAACATAAAGATTATATGCAAGGGCTTAATCCTTTTCCCAACAAAGATGGTGGCCAACACCATTTTTACTCCAATGGGAGAGGGGTCAGCTGAGAATGTGCCATGTTCCTAATTGGAAATCTCCTTTGTGATAAAAGAGTCAATAGTTTGGCATATACTTTGCCTTTGTAATTTCAATTCTATCAACAACTATTCCTAGCCACAAGAGAAATATTTTTAGGCAATATATTTGTATAGTTTCACAAAACTATGTCAAAGAGAGATGTGTGGGTGTTTGTGTGTGTGTATGTACGTATGTATGTATGAGTATTTATGAGCTTGGGATGATTTTCTTAAAATACTTAACTTCACTTACATTATATCTTACATTGCAAAATGTACAGACACCCAGTGTTCTTTTTAACAACATATACAGGTGAATTTATAGAGCCTTAAAAAAGATTTTGTGATTCCAAATTAAAAACCATAGAAACATAAGCAAAATAATGGAGAGTGATTTATACCTCTGATAGTACATAGCGCTCATTCGGGTAATATTGACAGCTGCATCTTTGGCATTGAAAATTCATTACAATTTTTTGACAAAATGTTGTTGCTTACAGCTTTTTTTTTTTTTTTTTTAAAACAAGAAAAATGGGATTGACCAAAATACGAATATTGGGGAAGTACTATTAAAGGTTTATTTTATTTTTGTTTTTAGCAAGGATAGCTTAGGAACCCTGAATTCTCTTCTCACTTTAGTGTATGGTGTAGACTGTATGAATCCATTTAAAAATCAACTAAGTTGTACCACGATTTTCGGAAAATTATATATAATATAATATATATATATTTTATATTTATTTAGAAGCTTTGAAATAGTACAGTAAACACTTTGCAACACGGTGTATAAACTACAGAATGTCTTTGATAATTCTGCGGGTCTTCAGATTAACAACATTTTTATGACCCACAGGTGAAAAGAACATGATCACAATCTCTCTTGTAAAGTTGGAATAGTTTGGGGAACACTCGATCACACAAAAATAATATAAAACAGTCAAGTTTAAAACAGTGATATTGCATTTATAATGCACATCTCTTTTATCTGTACGATTGGCTTCTTGTGGTGAATATAAACATCTAAAGGGCTCAGTGACATTTTGGAGAGAGAAAGATATATAGTGCTGTAAACAGGCACACACTGATCAGAGAGGCAAGATCAGTTGCCTCTGAAGTTTCTACAGTTCTACACATTTCAACTCATTTCTCAGGCCTGCTGAGAGCAATTAGGTCCTATTGTTGGCCATGATGTCTCCAACAGCACACAAATCCTTCAGTTACACAGAACTGGATGGCCAAGATAATGAAGTTGAAAGTTGATGCTTTTTGTTGGTCGACTTTTGTGCAAATCATGCTGCTTCAGGTAAGTCCTGTAGAAGTGACTAGCATATCCTTTTCCGTGCTGCGGGAAAGAAAGAAAGACACTTCTGAGAGAAAAAAAAAATAAATAAAGAAAAAAATCAGTCTCCAACAGTTCTTAGGTTTAGTATGTCTTAGAGGGTATGGAAACAATCAAAACTTGTCACAAACTGCCGCTTCAAATTCCCATTATAGCAAACAGCTTAATGTAGATTCACTTTTCAGAGAAAAGTCTTTTTGAGGCTTGATAGCCAGAATACCAAATTTCATAGGCTGTTTTATTACTCTGTCTAACATGTCATAGCAAGTATTTCAGTGTGCCTGTATGGAATTGGTAGAAAGAAAGGCAAATAGTCAGATTTACGGTTCAGTATTACTGGAATTTCACAGCCTAATTTTTCCCTAGTTCAGCTTGTTATTTGAAGCAAGAGCTAGAATTCCCCGAAAGATTCAGAAGCTAGTTTTCCTTCTCTTTCAAAGTGAACCATTATCCTCATCACCAAATGACCTTTTAGTCTGGTTTGACAGACGAAAAAATGGTGCATTAGTGCTACAATTCAAATTTCAGCATTTACTGTCAGGCTGGAAATTAACTCGTGTTACACGGATGAAGAAGGTCAGTGCATTAGCAAAGCCATATCCTAATCCACCAGCTGTGGTAGATATATTACCTCAAGACACTGGCTATTTTAATTGTAATTGGGAGCAAAGGTAAGAAATGATTTGTACTGGCATTCAGGAAGACCCTGGGTTAAATTCTGATCTCAGTCACACATGAAAACAAGGAATTAACTCACTTGCTGAAGTATTATTATTAGCATCATCATAATTATTATTATTTAGTAAAGCTTGTAATGACAAAATCAAGTTTTACCTTAGCTCCCAATCAACTAAATCCCTATCTGAAATGACGTCTATTTCTGTGCACGAAGCGTTACAACTAAAACAAAAAGGAATCTTATCTTCCAAACGAAACTTTGAATCAAGCCATCCATATATACAGGTTGATGTCTGCATGTTGACACATAAACACATCCAGTCTCCGTTCCATTTAACAGAAATATATACATTAGCCGCAGTTATTCCCTGTATATTTATTCACTAGTAAAGGTATGAAATCTATCTACTGCATCACAGGGAAGTTAGATTATTTACAGGTAAATGTTACCATGGGTGTTGTATGTTTACCTAATCTAGCCTGCCTGTACCACAGGACACACACAAGAAAATGTCAGAAACATTTCTGTATAAGCTTTCTTTGCAACATACAGACAATTGCCAGATGTGTTATTGGCATTAAAATTAAAACATCTAATATACTGTGTTTTGGATGTTTCAATTCTGTAGCAAATTAATAGCAGAATTAGAAAGAATTTTTAAAAGCTTCCACTGCGATGTTTTTTAAACACTGTAGTAAAGACTCATGAGATCAGAACCTTCATGATATTTTGATGCAGTATGTGATCAGATTAATCAAGTTTCTAGATGTCTTTTAAAATATCTTTTTAAATATTACAAGAAACCGTCGTTCCAATAACAGTAATAAAAATAGCAAAACTTATACTGGATCTTGTAAACTTTTTCCCAGAAGTTCAGTAGTAATTTCAGTTCTCTTGTAAATATTTAAGCATAGTTGTCTGGATTAGTGGCTGCCACTGAGGAACTCGTGCTGCACTACAGACACAGGAGGACTTTGACGGGAGAAAGATATACAGAGATGCAGTGGGGGCAGTCACTGCTTTCATGCAGCACTACTGTCCCACTCCCATCTGACAAGGTGCCTTGGTAGGATTGACATGGCACCACCTTGCAGATAATACAGAGATTGTGTTACTGGCTGTGTCTGGCCTTTTGCCATGTAAACTGATGCATTTTAAAATTTTTAATCTTCAGTTAATATGCTTATATTACAAAACAATCAGGCCCTTTTTACAGCAATAGCTAAATGTTGTGCATCAGGTTGTGGAACACCCGCAACTCTCCCCACCTACAAAAATCCTTTTCCCAAATCCTAAAGTATCCTCTGCCAACACATAAAATGCACTGGATTTCAAAGGCAACTCTTGTACTCCATGTTTGTTTGGAGTTTTTTTTCTGGTTTTGCACAGAAATTTATGTGCAAGCAAATCTCTCCATGTCTATACCAGTTTCCGTCTTTTTACAGATGGGGAATATAAATCAGAGAGGTTAAATGGAAAGGAGGATGGACTTAGCTTAAAACAGAGGGCAATGAAAATTCTGACTTCTGTTTCTGGCTCTGTGTGTGTGCATGCATATGTGGTCATAAATAAACTTTTAATAAGAAACACTAAGCCTCTCTGTATCACAACTTCTCCATCTGTAAAATGGGAATAATATTGCTTACCTATCTCCTAGAGGTGCAGGAAGGTTTAAATCACTATTCTTTATAATCCACTTTGAGATCCAGAGATGGCAAGTGCTATAGAAATGGAAGTATCAGAGTCAGTGTAAGAGCTGGAAAAAGAACACCATAATTTCTGGTGCCTAATATCTCCTCTGAGATCACAGCTCTCTCTTTCATCCCTGTTTTATCTCCTGGTCTGAACTCTTACTAATACACAGGGAAGCTGCAAGTCTGTGTGAGTACGTGTACTAGCCAGAAAGAGGGCTTTAATACTAAGCAGTTTCATAATTCTGCTAATGTAATTATACTATTTGTACATATATTCTAATAGTGTTTGATGTGAACAAGTATTACAATTAAAGTTCTTAGACTACAGGATTTGTGCTGTGCTGACTATTGATCCTTCCCCAAACACCTGCACAAAGATTTTGAGCATTACACTAAGAGTGTTTAATGCATAAAATTTATATGGAATAAAATAAAACAAAATAAAACCCAATAAAAATATATTAAGATTCATTTGATGCTCAGTACACACTAGGAAGCCTCCCATCCACGGTGAGCTAGTTCTGTAAACTGACAGGAGAAGACATGTAAAGACATCAGTGGTAGATGAACAGAAAAAGAAACTAACACAAGAAGCAGAAGAGAAAATAAAGTATGCAGTGATTATTCCTAGCTCAAGGACCAGAAATGAATAGAAAATACTGCAAAGTCCTTGTCTCTTTAGTAAATCTTCCTTTCAGCCTGTAGTGAATCATCCTATTGCATCCAAATTTGATGTCAGATTACTACTTTATAGCCATGAGTACAGGCAGGTACATTTCCTCTTTTGGCAAAGCCTAGGAGGGATTGCCTGTACTTGGAACACCTTCAAATTCTGCAAATCAAATTTTTTTCCTGCTTAGCAGTGGTAGCTAATCTATCGAGGACAGAGAAAGGGCCCACTGCTTCCCTCCAGAGCTGGCAACACAAGCAGCGAAAGAAAACACACCCTACACCTTTTATAACTTTTGTCACTTTCCCTCTGGACTATTTTTAAGAGCTCTATAAACTCCCCAGCATTGTATCTTTACGGAACAACTGTGGAGTCCTCCCAAGTGCCAACAGCCTGAAGAACCAAATGAACCCCTCGATAATAAAATCTCCAAAGAATAAGAAATGCCAGGCAGGCTGCTGCTGTTCCAGAAATAATCCTGATCCCCCTTCACTTAGGAGAAAGATGACCTAAGCCCCTCTCTTTTAAAAAAAAAAAAAAAAAAAAAAAAAAAAGGCAATGCAACACAAGAACGGGGGGAAAGCCAATATGTAAATTGTCATCTTCTGTTTCAGATCCAAATTCTTTGAGTTCACACAATATCTGAGTAATATTTGTCTCCATATAGGCTTTCATAAATGGCCTTCTACGCAAGCACTCAACTCACTGCATTTTCCTGTGCGTCCCCTGTAAAGACTGTGTGCTCCATCATGCCACTCACTCAGGTGTTCCCCACACAACACAAGGAACACAGAAAGCTTTAACCTCCTGTGCTGCACTCAGAAGCAGCTCAGCTAGTCTGGCTTCATTTGTAGTGAGCGATAATTTAAAAAGGAGTTAATTACCTCCTATGCATTCCAGCAATGTTGGTTCTAAATGAGCATTCATAATTTTAACTATCTTTTTTATTTTGATGGTTTGCCTTACAATCTGTATGTTACCTGCAGTAGATGAAATATGGTTCTTCACTAAATTCCATTAGCTTCAACAGAGGCATAAATGGACAATTCTAGTGACAACCAACAGACTACAAACTCAGCATTCCAGCTCTAACTCAGCCCAACTGAACACAGACCAGCACCTAAGCACTGGAAGAAGGTATTCTCTATGAAATAACCTGGCTGTTCCAGCTAACTTGGGGCTCAAGTTGAGATATCAGCAGCTATATTTTTGGAAAGAGGTCAACAAGTGAACGGGAATGCAGAGTAAACTGCCATAGCTCCCTCACCCTTCGTAGCGGTGCATCCAGGTAAAGGGTGAGACACACGGCTGGGGCTGGGGCTGGGGGATGGAGGATGGGGATTATTCTGCTGCCACCCATGTTCTGTGGATAAAAAAGTATTCCAGTCATTGCAGGTGTCAATTCAGTACCTTTTTCAATCCATAAAGCCTTTTTTTTTTTCTTTTTAAAATGAGCTGTTACTTAGAGAAGTTTGTTAAAGCATTGCTAATAATATGCTATGAAAATTCTATTAATGGCATTATAAATAGAGATTGTCTTATCCAGCCAAATAAAATTTGGTACACAAATATGAAAATAGCATTTTTCTCATATATCTTTTCCTCATGAATTAGTTTAAAGGGAACTTCTTCTTTTCTTTCAGGGTTTTAGTGAATAGATTTTGTGCTTCAAATCTATGTATTCTGTAGAGTACACTTGGATAAAATAGCTTGCATTCCAGATGTCCATGTTATATTTTACACAATCTATATGTTTGGGCTTTTTTAAAAAAAAGAGATGGAACATACTTACTTTTTTACTCAAAAATATGTATAAATAGTTAAATAAGATCAACCCTCCCTTAATGCCAGTGAATTCATTGGCTCTGGTGACCACTGTTTGTGTGCCCTATGTATGTCTGGAAAGTCCTGAAGGTGTAAGGTAAGAATGAGACCACACCCTGTCTGTCCAATTTAAGCATATAACAAGACAGGGAAGGCAGGAGAATCTCCCACACGTGAACCTGTCAGTTGCCCCAGGGCAGAATTTGTCCCTGATAACGATATGCCACTCAGTAGGGCTGAAATGTTCCTGCTGGGATCTACAAAACCCAGGATATAAATATTGTTTCTAAAATAAACCAAGAGCATTTGGACTGATGGGTACAATTACCCAGATTTCATGTGAAACAAAAAACCCAATTGTGAGCATCAGGTCTTCAGGCTGTGAATAAATTAGAGTAAGACAAAATGGAAAAGTTTTTAATTGTTGCACTGAAACTTTTCTGGAAACAGGCTTGCTTTTAGCTGAATAAATAACCCCCACAGACCATTAAAACCTTTCCTTCCAGAGTACATTTCTACTTCTAGACCAGATATGATTATGCAATCCCCTCCCATCTTTTGTCTAAAGAAAACTATGTGACCACATATATTGTCCTTTTCTTTGTCCTCCACTAAGCACATTTCCATGTTTATATTCACTTAAATCAATTCAAGAAACAAGGATTTCCAACCATGCCAAAATTTGACAGTGTTGGATACTCCACTGGCCATAACTGAAAGAACATGACAAACAACATCACCTACTCCAGGAAAAGTGGGCAAAATTGCACTTTGCAATATAAAACTGCCACTTTCCAAATCTGAACATCGTGTTCTAGACCAACAACTTACACAGCTTATCACTCTTTTTTTAAAAAAATGTAATGACCAAATTGCTGACTTGCACATACTGCCAATTAGATTAATTTTAAGATTGGAAGATACATTCTTAAAGGATATTTTGATGTTTGGAACATGTTTTGGTAACTATTTTCATATGGCAAGCAGGATGCCTGATACAAATGCTGACACATCATGACAGTCACTGAAATAATGTTTCTCCGCTGCTATTGAGTGCTCTGAGATTTGTATGTTACGTGGGTTTAGCTGATTCTCTGAAAAAAAACCAAACCAAAACAAATAACTTTTCAGTTCTTAAGAATAACTATCCAAGTCCCAGTTTGTGTAAGCACTAGATAAAATTGCTCTCTATTTAGGACTAGCCTCGAGCGTAGGCTTAAGTTTAAGCACTGACCTTAATCAACATGTGCTTTACATTAAGCACATGACTAAGAAGGATTGTCTTTTGAATCAAGTCCTGGATTTATTTTGTCATCAGTGTTCTGTGGCACACAAGATACTGTTATGTGCATTTGATTTTCTGTTCTAAATGCTGACAATTTTCTTTTCCACCGTCAGCAACAGCCCGGTGGCACAGCAGATGTCAGATATGATTTATCTCTGGTTGCCATTATTTACTACCGAAACAATGCTTTTTAGTTACTACAATTCAGCACAGAAAGTGCTAAGCTATATTCTATAATGTACCATAAAAATACAAAGACAGTTTTCCCACAAGATACAGTGGGAATAAAGCATCTTTGTCTTTCTGTACTATTATAACCATTATAATGGTTATCTACCTGAAAATTCTCAAGATAATACATTACATCACCATCATAGTCAGACAACCATGGAATATTTAATTCTGTAAGAGTTCTTATAATTATGTACTGTGTTAAGACCAGTTAAATAACTCCTAAATTACTCCTGATGTATGTCAAACTTACAGCAAAGAACATATTCCCTAAGAATATTTCCAAATTCTCCCTCAACAACTTATTGTAACTGGATACATGTTCTAATAGCAAATTCACATTCTTCCCAATTTACTTATTATAAGCTAATAATTTTGGTACTATCCTTAGTAATACCAATATTTGATTCCTTTTTTTTTCTATTTAAATTTGCTTATGTGCTTGCATGCAACAATCATTTCTTCTCCTCAGTCTTCTTCTCTTCTTCCTCTACGTGTTTTTGGGGGTGTTTTTTTTTTCAAAATTCATCATTTTTATTGCACTCTCCTGAAAACTACAGTATATATCTCTTTAAACTGACAAGCCCAAAACTTAACATGTCAGTTTGAGGGTTAACCAATGCAGAATACACTAAAGGCTGGCTACAACGTGACTTAAAATTTTCAGTGCCCTGGGGAGAAGAGGAGGGATAGGAACCCACCTCCTAAATTGCTCTGAAGTGCCTAAGTTCCCTATAGATTCAAGGGAGAAGCAGACATATAGATCACCATTTGGTGGCCTTCAGAGGTGCCTAAATTATTCATGCTGGATTTGGCCTGAAATAATTAAATTTACTTGTTCTTACATAAGATGACATGCATTAGAGCATTGTATCAGCATCACAATGTGTACTCCTAGACAATTTATGTTTGCCATGATGTTTTTTTCCCCCATTGCTAGCAGAGATCAGGTGTCATTAGGATCTGACAGGTATGTTCCGACTCTTTTTATGAAAGTTTTATTTTCTGTTTCTAAAGTATACTGCTTTCATGAGCAGCATACACTCTGATTTCAGAGTCCTTCTCACTTTACCAAGATAACACGCTTAAGTGTATCATATAACCTTCTCACAAGCCTTTCAAAACTTCTCTTTTTCAAAAACACATATTGGCTTGGTTTCTATCTATAAATGCAGTTTGCCCATCACCATTCTTTGTCACTTAAGACTACCAGAATGGAATGATTTATATCCACATTATTAAAATTTCTCAGCCATATCAAGCAATATATGGGGGCCATAGAGTGTGGTCATATTCAATCTGCTTTCTGGAATGGTCCCTGGCACCATTTCCCAGACTTGTTAGGGAAAAAAGTGAGTTGACAGAGGCTAAAGGCAGGACAGAGAGGGTAAGAGTACAGACCATAACATTCCACTGGTGGGAAGGATCCTATTTAATTCAACAGAGCAGCCATAAAGAATATTGGAAGTACAAAGCACACTGTCCTCTATCTCATGTAGAGCAGAAAAAAGTTATTACTGCATCTCATTTGTAAGGTAGAACCCTTTTAGATCTCAGTTCCTATCAATGCCCACAGCTGTGTGCAGCTCCATTCAATTGTCATCTAAATTCCATTTGAGAATAGATGGATGTCAAATTAAAGCCCAAATAGGCAACTAAAAAAGTCACAAAGTGACAGAATTTTACTCTCACAAAAGATGAATCCACAATATCAGCATCTATAAAATTCCTTATGAATAAAGAAAGGTTGCGTTCCAGCAGTTTCATAATGAATCCTTTTGCAGGGCTGAATGCAGCCGTGATGCTGCAGGTGAAAAGATAAAGTCAGAAGACTCGGCTCACTTGCAAAAACAGGAGTCTGTCACCCCTGTAACTTCATGGCTGAATCTACTCCGCATCCTTTATTTTTCCTTTCTAATCTACATTACTTCTGATAACCTGTGAAAGTGTCACGTAAAATAGCATCATTCACACATATGAAATAGATTCGTGTGTATGCAAGAAATGCAGATTTCCTCCTGCAACTCATGCATGCATGTATGTAACTTTCAGGTAGAATTTGGGAAGCAAGTTCTGAAAATGTCTCCCCTTTCTTCAACCCATAAAGAAATTGAAGAAAGAAATCAAATCACCTCAGAAGAGTCTGGTTTTCAGTTCTTCCAACATTTCACTAGGTATTGAAGTTAAAAATTGTAATATTCTAATTGTATCTCCTACTTCCTCTACAAGACAGTACCAATATACAATTTTTCACTCTTCTGACCTCACCATACTATGTTTCTAAAACAAATACATTCACAGTTACTTCCCAGCAGCAATCGTTCCACTGCTAGCATGGAACTGTGGATTCTCAGTGGCTGGTGCACAAATAGAGCTGTTTACAGGCTTGCCAGATAAACAGCAACACTGATCCCCACAGTGTGCTTGTCCAAACACCATAAACAGATGCAGCTCCCTCTCTAGTGGCTGTTTGCTGCATTCTTTAAATGGTTTTTCCTATTTTTCCTACTTTGGCCAAGAGGAAAAAAATAAAAAAAAAAAGGAAAGCCCTCAAAACTTAAAACAGCAGAAACGACTGTGGAAAATTAGCTATTGTGTACAGCAAAAGAGCCAAAACAAGTATAATTTCCTCTGCTCTGCAAGCCAAGAAGTTCCTTGGATGGAGGCAAGCAGAGAGGAAAAGACTTTGCTGTGCACAGACCCAAGATTAAGCACATGTTCAGTTCTCCAGCTCCTGACTGTCACAATAAGGAGGTTTGTACATTGAAGAACAGCATTTATTTATAATTAATAGAATTTGCCTATCAAAAATAAATAACTTTAGTGCCTTTGAAAATTTTAACTGCAAACATCTCATTGCTTTCCAAAGAATCTCATGTCCCTAAGTGGCTGGATTACTTTTGTCACAGGATTTAGATTTATAGGACAAGCGGCATTTTGGAATTTTAAATCAGTGTTACACAGTAATCTTAAAAATTACTTTAAAGTTTCAAACAATCTTTCTGCTTCTTCATATTCCACTG